GTTCTCTGGATTGGGAGGCAGGGACCAGAGGAGGCCCCCTGACTCCTGAAGAAAGCCTTTTTGGGAGCACCCAGCGCCCCAGTGCTTATGACGGCTGAAGGCAAGGAGGGCGATGTGGGAGGCCCTGCCTAGGCTCTCCCCCACCAACCTGTGACCCTGGAGTCCCCCTTCACATCTTCTCCCCCCAGATACTCCATCTGTTCCCTTCCTGTAACTCCCCGCCACCCACATCACAGGCCAGGCAGGAAAGGGCAGGCCCCATCTGGTGACTCCCAATGGGGCCTCGCTGGTTTGAGGCTCAGGGTCAGCAAGGTGYCTGACCTTTACAGAGGGTGCCGCTGCCCAGGCCCCCTGGAACAGGTTAGGAGTGCACTGCAGGCAGGGCTTGGCCCTGGTGCTGGAGGAGCCCCCAGGATGGATTCTGGGGTCCCAGATGCTTTTCCAGGAAAACCGAGCAGGCTTTTCCAGAAGTGCTGTGGGCCAGGAAAACACAAGCAGGGGCAGCAGCAAATGGGTGACCAAGGGTGGTGGGGAGCAGAGCAGGCCRAAGCAGGAGGGCAGGGGTGGCAGGATGGCCTCATTACAGGCCATCTGGCTACAGGCCAGGCTGGTTATAGGCCAGGCTGCAGGCTTGGCCTGTAACCAGAGGTCCTGCCCCTCATTTTCTTTATATACATTTTTAGCTCTATTAATAACCCACATAACCTAAGATTTGCCACTCAACACAATATTTTTAGTATATTCACAGGACTGTGTAACCATCACTTCTAGCAATTTTAGAAATTTTCATTATCCCCAAAGAAACACTACACCTGCTAGCAGTCACTCCCCATTTCTAGCCAAACCACTCCAGCTAAAGTAACCACTAATATACTATCTACATGAATTGACCCATTCTTGACATTACGTATAATTTCCTGGTAAATCACATATAATTTGTGATTGCTTCTTTCACTTGTCTTCAAGTTCATCAATGTCACATGGATCAGAACTTCATTCWTTTTTATTGTCAAGTAATAYTCCTTTCTATGGAATTTTTTCCCTCAGTGTTAAGGGTTGAACCCAGGGGTCTTTTTTTTTTTTTTTTTTTTTTTTTAAGGCAACAGACTCTTTATTTAATGTGGTTTAAAATACATCAATAAAGTCCCTGGCTGTTGTGAATACCAAAAGGAGATTAACTCCCCCCTGCCCAAACCCAGGGTTTTGTGCATGCAAGGSAAATGCTCAACCACTGGGCTACATCCCCAGCCCTCTGGAAGGCATTTTATTCRTCCATTCATAATTCATTCATTCAGGTGTCAGCTGGTAGACATTTCAGTTCTTTCCACTATTGAACTATGAGTAATGCCACATTAAGTATTCTTGTACCAGTTTTTTTTAACATGAGTTTTCAATTTGCTTGGGTATATACATGGAATACCTGGGTCATTGTTAACTTTAACTTTTGGAGAAACCCTAAACTGCTTTTACATTCTCACACCAAGCATGTGAGGGCCTCACTTCTCGACATCCATGCAGACCCTTGCTCTTCTCTCCATCACAGGCGCCCTAGCAGGTGAGTWGTAGTATCCCCTGGTGGTTTCAATTTGCACTTCCCTGATGACTATTTGTCTTGGGCTGTGTATTTGTCCTTTTCCTGAGTTGTAGGAGTTCTTTATACATTCAGTACAAGTCCTTTATCAGATTCACAAACATTTCCTCCCATTCTGTGGCTTCTCATTCTTGATATTCTTTGAACATGAGTTTTAAATTTTGGTGTCAAATCGATTTTTTCTTTTGCTGCTTGTGCTTAAGATGTCATCACCTAAGAAACCACTGCCTGATCCAAAGTCGTGAATATTTATACTTGTGCTTCCTTTTTAGTTTTAGTTCTTAAAATCTTTAGATCAACCATTTTCGGTTTATTTTCCTGTGAATCCAGCTTCATTCTTTTACATGTGAATATCCAGTTGTCCCAGCACCTTTTGTTGAAYAATTATTCTTTTCTCATTAAATTGTCTCAACACCTTTGTCAAAAACCAATTGACCATAAATTTGTTTATTTCTGGGCTCTGAATTTTATTCCATRTGCCAGAGTTTAATTAAGCAGCTTTTGTATTGAAGTTTTGAAATCAGGACCCTCGAGTTCTTGAACTTTGTTCTTCTTTTTCAGGATTGTTTTGGCTATTCTGGGCCCCTTGAATTTCCATATGAATTTTAGGATCAGCTTGTCAAATTTCTGCCAAGAAGTCAGCAGAGTTTTTGTTACAGACTGTGTGATCTGCCACGCCAAGTCAACCATGAACATGGGCTGTCTCTCCACTTAATGAGCCCTTCTTTAATTTCTTTCAACAATGTTTGTAGTTTTCAAAGTTTTGCATTTTTTTGTTAAACATTCCTAAGCATTTTATTATTTTTATGCTACTGTAAATGAAATTGTTTTTTTAGTTTGTTAGTTCTATGTATAAAAATAAATTTTTTCAAAATATTGATCTTGTATCCAGCTACCTTGCTGAACTTATTGATTAAATGAGTTTTTTTAAAAATGGATTCCTTATGATTTTGTATAAGTCATGTCATCTGCAAAYAGGTCATTTTTTACTTCTTACTAATGCATATGGTTTTTACTTCATTTTTCTCGGCAGTTTCCTAATGAGAATCTCCTGCACTATATTGACTAGAAGAGGCAAGAATGGACATTCTCATTCCTGGTCTTGGAGGAACCCATTCACTAATGCACCAATCTGAATTCTGGTTTTCTCATAGAYGCCATTTTATCGAGCCGAGGAAGTTTCCCAATTCCCAGTGCACTGAATGTTTGCTTTGTTTTGCTTTGTGGAGCTGTGGACTGAGCCCAGGACCTCACACATGCTAGACACTCTACCACTGAGCTACGTTTTAAGGCTTCCACTGAACCTTTTGATCCTGAAGGTTGTCCGCTTCTGTGTTGACTATGTGATTTTGCTTTGTCTAAGGATAAGAGTGTGTTCCATTAACTGACAGAGGTTCAACCAGCTGCCTTCCTGGGAGGTCCCTTGCCTGTTTTCTTCAGCTAGTGCCAGGTTCTCCTCTTGGACCAGTTCTTGATCTACTGCCAGGGCCTGGGTGGTGGTTGGGTCAGGGGCCCCCTGGGGCAGGACCCGTAGAAGCCCACCTTCTCTAGTCTGGGGGTGGCTCTTCCTGCCTTTTGCAAAGAAGAAGCATCTGCTGAGAGCCCTCAGGGAACCCGTCACATGAAAGAACCTGCCTAAGTAGGGACCCGGGAAAGAACCTGCTTAAGTAGGCACCTGTCAGGCCAAGCTATGACAGACAGACAGACAGGTTAGGGGGCGAGATGGGCAGGGAGGAGGCTAGTCAGCACAGGCCTTGAGCATAAAGGGCTTGTTGAAGCAGAAGAGGCGCCGGCACTCTCGGAGGCCGTGAGGCCCAGAGGGGAAAGGTCTGCTGCAGCACTGCCACTCGGCTGCTCGGCCTCTGGGGCTGCAGAGGGGCCAACAAAGGACACCCCTGTCATCTCAGGCTTTATTACGAGGGGGTCCCAAAAAGCCCTTCCCACTTTGCCCATTAGAACAAGACTGTGCCGCCTGCCTCTGGCCCTTGTGGTGAGTCGGCCTCCTTTCTCGGGCCAGCATCTGCCGTTCCAGTTTCTACAACTGACACAATACCCTGAAACCTAAAAGACCTCAGGATACTACCTCAAGATGGCACTGACCCTGCCCAAGGTATTGAATGGCCAAGTCCATGGGCAGCCTCTCCAAATATCCAGGAGGACGTGGCTATCAGAGGGAAGGGCTCTTTCAGGGCCAGCTCAGTCCAGGCTCCACAGATCCGGGGAATCACAGGAAGTCATCAGTGCAAAAACGAATTTGAGGGTGGAGCAGCAGAAAAARAAGTGACCCTGGAACAGTGGTCAGGACAGGGGCAATCACAAGGCTGGAGAACGGGAACAGCCAACTCCCCTCTGAGGACACGAGGCCCCACTGCTCTAAGGAAATGGTGCTGCCGAGGCCTGGACTGACTCCCCCCTCACGCCCTCCCCTTCSCACCAGGGAAAGGGGGTGTGGGACCCAAGTCCTGAGGCCTTGGGAGCCTCCAGCACTGGCTGTTTCTGCAGCAGCTGCACAGGCACAGTTCTGTGTCCTGCCAATCAAAGACAACCACATCAAAGTTCCCCTGAGTCAACTGTCACCAGACTACTGCAAAAACATCCCAGGGGGCTGGGGATGTGGCTCAAGCAGTAGCGCGCTCGCCTGGCATGCGCATGCGTGCGGCCCGGGTTCGATCCTCAGCACCACATACAAACAAAGATGTTGTGTCCGCTGAGAACTAAAAAATAAATATTAAAAAATTCTCTCTAAAAAAAAAAAAAAAAAAAATCCCAGGGCCTTCCCTGGTGGGGACAACCACCCCATGCTGTGAGGGAAGAATGACCTCAGTGCTAACAAGCCAGGTGTCCCAGAGCAAAGGCAGAGAAGCACTGTGGGAGCACAGCTGGACCGCAAGACACTGTCTGTTTACAGACCCTGGTGCTGGGCAAAACCCAATGGAAAGGAAAGGAAGGGAAGGTTATCCCCTGTGCTGCAATCATGCGGCCACTGAAACAAATCACTCAGCAGGACTTGAAGACAGGCCATCTTCCAAAGGTGCTGAGTTAAGGGCTGGCGGGAACACGTTCTGGAAGAGCTGCCTCGCTGGCAGAAGGTCTGACACCAGCTGTTGTTCTGGGGGCTCCTCTCACCCTGAGACTGATCCCCACCCAGCTTCACACTCCTGCTCCTGGGCGGTGCTCCCCCCGCCTGCTGTCCCTCTGTCCACACCAACATGACGGACAGAGAATGACTCTGCTTAGATTTTTTTTTWAAATAAATTAGTTTTTTTAAGTCGTTGATGGACCTTTATTTTATTTACTTATATGTGGTGCTGAGAACCAAACCCAGTGCCTCACGTGTGCTAGGCAAGCTACAGTCCCAGACTCTGCTTAGATTTTTAAAGTCACAAAAATAAGAAACTCCCCACAAAACTCCAAATCACCACCAATACATTTATTTGAGGGAGGTGGGGTCAAATCTTACCATGAACTTTTATACTGGGTAGGGCTAGAGACATTCCCACAACTGCACAGGTAACCGAATCCTGCACATGAGGTGTCACCATTAAACAGACAAGCATTAGATGAGGGGGACACATTCTGAAGAGTCGCATGATTTCCAACTCAGAAAAAGGCGCTGCCCTCGAATCAGAAAAGTAGTGTTGAGAAAACCAAGGCAGAACCTGGCACTGGCCTTCTAGCCTAGGCCCAGTCATGATGGCGGCCTCGTGAAGGGGTCATGCCCTATTTACAAAGCAGGAGAGAGACACTCCCAGCCGAGCTGCAGAGTGAGGGCCGGGCTCCCTGGAGGGGTGCAAGTGGGTGGGACCGACTCCATTAGGCTTCCCTCAACCACCCTGGCTCCACAAGCCTTTCTCTGGCTCTGTACAAGGCCGACTCTGGGAAGTCAGGGAATGATGCCTCAACTCCCCACCCCCCCTTCTCCAGGTCTAACAGGTGACCCCACCCACTGGGTGCAGCCCACCCCTGCGCAACCCCACACCTCAAGAGACACATGGCCAATAAGAAAACTGTAGCCCAGCCGGGCTGGGGTACACCTAGGTGTCGCTGGGCTGCAGTCTCCCTACAGGTATCCCGAAATGACCGGCCTCACCCAAGGGCCAGGCTGAGACTAGGAGTTTGGTCAGGTGGTTTAGGTTACTCCAGGGCAAAACACGATCCTGATGACACCCGGCGGAAAAGCAGGCTGGAGCCGCGGAACAGCTGGCCCTGGAAGGGAAGGAACGTGACGGTGAGACGAGGAGCTTCCCCAAGGCCTCAGAGAAGAGGCACCCCGGCTCTGAGGCCCCAGTGCAGGCAGAGGATCAGGTCTGCATCCTGGGAGGACAAGGTCAGCCTGCCTGTGCTCAGGAGCGAGCAGGCCACCTCGTGCCTGGGAGTGCCCAGTGTCTCTGGGGCTCCTCAGGAGGAACTCCCAAGAGGAGGCTGGTGCTCTTCTGGCCTCAGGGCCCAAGGGAACTGAGCCTCAAGGGAGGAGTACGATGCAGAGCGACTGTAGTGCAGGACTGGCTGGCTGTCCCCCTCCCTCTCCCACCCTCTTCTCACCCAGAAGCCAGCCAGCACCCTGCTCTCCCCAGGCCAAGGCCACATTTACCGTGGGGCAAACCAAGGCTGAAAGAAGGCAGGTCTGCCCTTGCCTAGAAGCCTGGTCCCCGACCGCTGGGCCCGGGAGCACCAGCCGGCAGAAGGCAGCTTCAGCACAACACCCCAGAACCCAGGCCTGCCCCCCGCAGGCTCCCCATGTGGTCAGCGCCACTCTGTGGGACCTGGGGTCCTAGAGAAGGGGACCTCCCGCATGCCATGTCCCAACACTGGTTCAGCTACCGTGGTCTCGGGCCTCACATTTTCAGCCCAGGTGCCTTGAAGGACAAGTGCTGAGGCTTAACTACCCACCCCAGGGGCAGGACATCCTCATCCTTGTCCTAAGACTTTAAGAGTCAAGGAGACTGCACCTTCCGTGGAATTCTTACTTTGTTGGTTCTTCTTACGGCACAGGGGCTCACTGTGCTGCCCAGGCTGGCCTCAAACTCCTGGGTGCTTCTACCTCGGCCTCCAGGGACCGGGACGGTGGCTGTACGCCACCACACACAGCTCTGATGTGTGACTTTTAAATGAATCCAAACTGAGCCACCTCAAATCCTTTCTTAAATTAGGTGAAGTGCAAATTTAACTTAAAAGCCTTAAACCAAGTGTCTGTATTTTCTCTATTCTCTGTACTCAGGAGAGATTCCATGAGACCCCTTAGCCGCCCCTACAACGAAGAGCCCACAGAACCATTCAGGGGACAGTTGTGGCAAAGAATGGGAAAAGCCTCCAGCTTCCTGGGCTCACTCACCTGCACACTCAGGTACTTCCAGCAATGAATCCAGGATTTGAACACTGGGGAGTAGGGGGGGAGCCCAGCCTGCAGCCTGTGGGAAGGACAGTGTGTGAGAGCCAGAGGACAGAGGGAGGTCAGCTACACCCTCAAGAAAACAGCCTTGGACTGCCACCTGCCGACATCCAGAACTCAGGTTCACCCCACAGGGCGCTGGTGGATCCAGGGGAACTGTGTACACAGGCAGGTGGGAGGGGGCAGAGAGCCAGAAAGGCCCGGCTGGGGAAACCCGCAGTCGGCAGGGCCGCAGAGGGCTGCACACCTACCCGCAATTGTTCACAGCCATGAGGTCTCCGACCAGCAGGAAGGGGTAGGTCAGCATGCTCACTGCGATCTGAAACCCAGAGAGACCTGAGCGCTGGCGGTCTGCCCAGCCCGGCCCTGCACACGCTGCGCAGCACCTTGCACTAAGACCCGCCTCCCATCCCAAAGCTGGCCTGAGCCCCACCCCGCCCACAGGGAAGGCCAGGGCAGCTGGACTTACCCCCATCACAAACTTGGTGTAGCTCCGGATGGCCAGGGCCTGGCTGAACTGAGGAGACAGAAAGGGAGTGCAGTTTGCCTCGGACAGCTCAGGATGCAGACTTCAGCCCTGCAGATCCCGCCTCRCCCTCCACACCCTGACACACCCACGCTGCACAGGCTCCTCCCTCTCAGGGCCCACTGTGTCCATGGCCTAGAAGGGCCACAGAAGACCTGAGGCAGAGGTGCAGGAACTGGGCTGAGGACTCCAATGAAGGAGATGGGAGCGCAGGGTCACCTGCTGCTGGCTTGTGTGACATTGTGAGTCAGCTCCCAGGACACAGCCTCTACCTGCCTGGCTGCGTCCAGGGCCTGGGCTAGTCAGGGCTCACTGAGTGGACCAAATGACGGACTCCCGTCCAGACGCCCAGAGAAGCCTGGCCCTGGGCCTAAGGAGAGGGAAGACTCAGGCGGCTGCCACCTCCACCTCACCAGGCTGCTGCCCCCTTGGTGAGGGGCGAAGCCAAGAGCCCCACTCCTAAAACTCTGCCCTGGAAATAAGCTAACAAGGAAGGTCACTGCCCATCCCTCAGCTTCCTGTGGAGTAGCCATCCCACCAGGGGATTCCCTGACCTGGGCAGAGATTGCCCAGCCCTCTGCGTGGGCGGCTCAGCAGGTGGGCAGCCCCACCTGAGCCTGGAAGCCCACACAGAGGATCCCCTACATGCAGCATCTGACTCTGCTGCTGCTGCTGAAGTGCAAGCAGCTGCCCAGCTGGACCAGAGAAGCCACAGCCTCCAACAAGACACCCAGCTGTCCCAGGCTTGCTCTGCATACGACAGCAGCACTGCACCACCCACAAGGTCCCCAAGGAAGGGCAGAGCTGCAGGCATGTGGGATGGGGTGTCTTCATGGAGCTTATACTGAGAGGCCAGTTAAGACTCACCCAAGTTCAAGGGCCAGCCAGCCTTGCTRTGGGAGCAGAGCTCTCATCTGGGGCCACAGACCTGTGCCCAACACCCCCCACCCCCAGCCCATACTGGGCCCACACAGCCCTGCGACCTTGCCCCTCCCCAACCAGGCTGATTCTGGCAGGCGGGTCCCCAGGTCCCTCACAATCCTCCTGAGCTTGGCTGTCCCTACCGCTCCACAAGAAAACCACAATGCCCAGGAGATGAGGGATTAAGCCACTAGGAGTTCCAGCCCCTCACAGCTCTCTAACCCTTGCCTTAGTCCAACAGAACCCGTCACCCATCAGGCGCCCAGAGCCTTTCCTCACCAAGCGCCCTGCAGAGGGACCAACGCTCTCACACCTGACCCGACCTGCAGAGGCCTGTGTGCACCAGGCTGGGAGAGCCCTGCCAAAAACATCGGGGAGCCTCCCACCCGGCTACAGAGGTCACCAGAGAATCCCAGGGAAAGCACCCTCAGTCTGGCAAAGGGAAGGACCCTGGCCCAGTCTTGTTCGAGCCCAGTGACTTTGGAGCGCTCATTTAACCGCTGGGCCTCAATTTCCACTATTAGTGTCATCCACCTGTCCTGTTTCCTTGACAATCAAGGCTGGAGGACCAAAGGTCGTAACCTTCACAGAGGACTTTGAAAGCATAAAATAAGAAGCAAAATCTTCCGATTTCAGAGTCCTGGTTGAGCCTCTGCCCAAAGCACCCTGAAGAACACTGGAATGGTAAGGCTGCCCAGGACAACGGCCCTCCCAAGTCTGGGTACCAATCTAACATCCCATCTTTCCCCAGGCAAAGCCGAGACACCAGGACTTCTAGGGGCCTGTCATCCTCAGGGCAAGGGAATTCCAGAGTCCTGGACCTGTCTCAGACCCTGGGAGTCAGGAGTACATGGAGGTAAAGAAGGACAAGTCCTTGTTCCAACCAACCTGGGAACCTGGATTCTGGTCGTTTCCCAGCCCCCCTGGGGTGTCACTCACGCTGTCATCCACCAAGTAGGCATTGATGAAGTGGGCCAGCAGGTTACAGCCCCACAAGAAAACCACATCGCCCAGGAGATGAGGGATTAAGCCACTAAAAAAACAAGGTGAGCAAAGTGAGGGGGGAGCGAGGGGCGAGGTCCTGGGGCTTCGCACCCAGGAAGCAGGGAGGAGGTTCCAAGCTCAACATTTTAGCACCCCCAAGAGCAAAGCCTCGGAAGGAGAACCCACAGGCCCTTGTGAGCCAGCAGCGGCCCACCAGAAAGGCCGGGGTCCTCGTCCCCGAAGTGTTACAGGCCACTTCTAATGCCACAGACTGTTAGTGGTCTCACAAGCAGTTTTTAAACCACAGAAGCCAGGCGTCAAGATGTGAGAGTTGCACATCTCAGATTTTCAAGTGCAGATGATGAAAGTATCCACATGTCGGCAGCTTTCTCCTGGCCTCCTCACCAACCCTCTTCAGTGTACCTCTTCACCCCTAGAACATCCCACTGGCAACGTCCCATTCAAATGTTTCCAAGGAGGCCACCTCACAGACCAACTCATAACGTGACRACCTTAATGGCAAAAAGCTCCAAAGAGCCCACAGGGAAGGCTCCCGAAGGCAGTGCTGAGGGCACTAAGCCCACAAGTGCCACTTGGGTCTTGTGGGGTGTTTCGTTTCCTTCTGCAGCACTGGGGATGCGGTTCAGGGGTGTCGACCATGAGTCACAACCCAGCTTTACAATTTTTCCGTTTTAAGACTGAGTCTCACTAAGCTGCCCAGGTTGACCTGAACCTTGGAGCCTCCTGCCTCGGCTTCCCAAGCGTGTGCCACCGCGCCCGGAGGCCACTTCTGCTCTCCACACTACGCTTATTTGCTTATAGAGGAACAGAGTGCCTCGGGAGGTGCTCCAGGGGAACGGCTGTCTCTTGGGAAGGGAAGCAGAGTCATTTCTGAATTTTTAAAAAGTCTAACTAATATTTGGAAAGCTCAAAAGAATGTACGTTATCACATATATGAGGACCAGCAATCAAAGGATTCTCTTGGGATGCGATTCCTAACGGGGCGTCCCTGCCCGTGCTCAGGTGACCATGCACTGGAGCTCTGGGACCTGTAACATAAATGGGTACTGCCTACTCCAAACCCCCGGGGAGAAAGAACCCAAGGGCTAGTGTGAAAATGCCAGAGGTGGTGACACAGTGTTTCAAGGCCTAAAGTACCAAGTACACAGGCGAACACGTACGTACTCACATACTTGTACACATATGTGCATGTGTGTGTGAATGTGCGGGTGTGTACATCAGCGCGTCTCAGCCTTGGCGCTGTTGCATTTGGAGCCGAGTGACGCTTTGCTGTGTGCTGCTTCCATGCTGCAGGACACCTAGCAGCACCCTGGTCCCTCTCCACTAGGTGCTGGGTCTGACAATGAGATGGCTCTGAGAACCCTGATGACAGCCACATGTGCTATATGTATGCACACAGACACACACCCTCTCACAGGAATCCCTTGGCTAAACAAATGCTATAAATAAAACCCTTGGAAAGGTCTGGAAAACCACAATAAGAATTACATTAATATACCATAACTATAGAATATCATTAATATATGATAATATCACATAAGTAAAAAATACACTAACAACGCGGGACCCGACACTAGTGCCCTACACATGGAACAGCTGTGTCACCACCTAGATCTGGAAAAGGAAGACAAAACACATACTTGTCAAGCCTGGCTTCTGAGTTCTGTTTGTGACTTTTTTTCGGGGGGGGGGGGTGCTGAGGATGGAACCCAGGGTACTCCATCACTGACTTACATCCCCAGTCCCCTTGATTTTACTTTGAGACAGGGTCTCTCTGAGTTGCCTGGCTGGCCCAAGCCTCCCGAGGGGCGCTGTGGTGGGCGCGGCTTGGACTCTCTGAACAGCCTCTCGGCAGGTAAGTAAGGAGACAACCGAGCGCAGGAGGTCGGTGGCCATGAGGACATCATGTGCCCTGCCAGAGATGAAGCCCCTTGGGCCCCAGCCAATGGCTGCTCTTAGAAACAGAACCAGAAGGGCCAGATTTTCTGACTTTTCAAGAGAAACCAGAAACACGAACTCTTAATTTGCCAGGACAGACGTGACTGGCTGGAGTTGGCCTGTGGCTCCCAGCACTCGACCCTCAGTCCAAGTCACAGGGTTTCAGGCACTTCTGGAGTGGAGCCAAGAACTACACGTGCCGTGGCTCGTGAAGACCAGTGCCAACGCCCACCTGCAGCCCCCGGGGTGAATGGCCAGGGCCTCGCGGGGCCACTCGGCTCATCTCCCCTGTGCGCTGGGTAACAGTCCCTGTTTGTTTGTGGTGCTACAGATTGAACCCCGAGCCTGGCGCGCTCCAAGCCACCCCCCAGCCCTACTCCATTTTTATGTAAACTGTGACCTGAAAAGGGCCCAACAGCTTGGTCCTGATGCTCTATGGCCCAGACCAGAGCTGGGCCGCAGCTGGTCGGACTGGGGCAGAGCCTTGTGGTTAGTGTGAGGGGGCAGCTGTGGCCTGGGAGGCCGGGAACACACATGTGTTAGCTGAGCCACGGCCATGGCCGGTTACAGGGTGGATAAACTCACGTACACAAAGAATCCCAGCAGGCCCTCCTCTTTGAAAATCTTCCCAATGGAGCTCAGCACACCACTGTGAAGAAGGCAAAATAGGAATACAAGGTCACCTGGTCACTTAGCAGCAGCCCACCCCACCGGCCCCCCCAAATCCAGCCAGTCCTAACCTAGATGGGGAGGAAGAACCCAGGAAGAGAATCGTCAAGAACTCTGGTCTGGGGAGGTTTACACAGTCGTGAGGACAGAGGAAACCAACACACCCCAGGGGCACAGGACCTTGCAGTCCTCTCCTGCCATGTTCCCTGGGATCTGATTCAGGAATGACACCCTCACCGGGGACACTGCAGCAACAGCAGCAGGCCCTCTCCCACCTGGCCCTGGTACTTATCTCTGGTCACACAACCTCCTGGCAGAGAGCCTGCAGGCCACCTGACAGGGACCGCAGGGAAGGGGTGGTGAGCAGAGGGGGTCACCTCAGGGTAAGAGGAACCCAGAGCCTTGAAATGGGACCCCGGACCAGCCTAGGAAAAGCCATCTGGCCCTCCATGGAAGACGCCTGGGCACTAGTGTCTACTGGAGACCAGAGGACAGGCTGTGGCATCTTGCGTGTGAAATGCAAAGAAGGTTCAAAAACCTCCTCTGTGACTTGTAGCTAGAATGTCAGCTGGCCTCTCCGGAATGGCGGCTATGAAGGAAAAGTACAGGAAAAAGGAGCAGGTGGCAGAAGACGGCGGGAGAAGCCCCGGCAGCACACGTCCCACCAGGCCCCACCAGCCTTCTCAAACGGGCTGGCCACTGGAATTCTGAGACGAGTTGTCCTCTCTGGTGCCATTTCCCACCCTCACCTTTCAATCTGGTAACAGGCCAGTTCTCACTAGTGAACCCAAGATGAGGGGACACAGCAAGCAGGCTTCATGGGGTAATAGCCCATGGGATAGCTGCAGAGAACAAGTGACCCAAGGAAATGAGATTCAGAGGGAGGCACCCAGATGTGTCTAGGGCCACATGCTTCCAGGACCTGTACCCTGTGGGGCACCTCCAAGGGGCAGAGAGGGCGCCAGCCCTGCAGGGAAGATGGTGTGGGTACAGGTGCCACCCACACCCACATCCAGGGAAGCTTCTGACATACAATTAGTGGATGAGTCCCAAGCCCACGGGACAGCTTCTCAGGACCATGAAAAGAGCTGTGAGCCAGACTCTAAAACAACTGGAGAAACCTTTGGGGCATCAACTGAAGGGTCCAGAAGGTAACCCTGGGTCAGTCCTAAGCGGCAGAATCAGTGCTGGTCCTGAACACCTGTCCAAGCAGAATCCACTGCCCAGCACTGAGGCTCATCTAGTGCAACCCCGGGGAAGAGAAAGAGAAGAAAATGGCCCATGACACAGACCACAGATGCCACTGCCACAACCTTCTAAAGTGACGCAGTGGGCTGAGGTAGGGCACAGATATGGACCAGAAAAGGTGCAGCACTGACCCCAGCATGGCTTGTGCTGGGTGACTCTGAAGGGTCACAGGGCCACTGCAGCCAAGAGAAATTACCCACCTGTATTTGGCCTCCCGTCCCACAAACTGGACCATGCAGCGCATTGAGATGACTGAGGAAAGAGCAAAGGCACACAGGTGACTTGGTGGGCCACGACACCCTAGCCACATGGTGTCCAATACTGAGTGATCACTGCACAATGTGGCCTAAGTCAGAGTGCAGGAGAGGAGGGCCTGAGGCTCTGAGACCACAGCATCCCATTTCTTCTTCCTGCCATGGCAAAGGACTCTTGGCCAATCTCTCCTTGGTGGGTTCCAATGGGAACTCCTACCCCCACCTCTTCCCAGCCATGCCACCACTGCCTGCCTACAGCACACAAGGTGCCGTGCCACCCCCCTACTTGGGGATAGATGCAGTCCCTCAGGGCGGCTCACCATGCAGGGGGTGGGCCAGCATGCGGGACACGCACTGCATCATCATCTCGTAGGACGTCTGGAAGAGAGCGGTGGGGGGACTCCATCAGGCCTGTCTCTGGGACTGGCACTCATGGGGAGCTGTCCTTCTGGGGGAAGACTGGGGGACCCACGGACCTCAATGGGGCAGTCCACTTCCCAGGAGAGCTGCCTGGTCCCCAGTGAGGCCCAACAGCAGCTGGGAAAGCTTTCCAAAATTCCCCAGGTCCCAGCAAGGGTTCCTGCATGCCATGCAACAGGCACACACAGGGCCAGCTGTTCCTCTTTAAGAACCCACCCACCCCAGGATGAGGCACAGCAGACCCCCCTCCACCCCCACACCCACCTCCTTCACTACTTTCTTCAGGGAGGTCTTCATGTCATCCTTGTTAGAAACCTGCTCGATCTCATCAGGAGGGAAAACCTGACACACACAAAAGAGGGACAAAAGCAAGGTACAGTCATGCCTCCTCGGCATCTTAAGGGATGCACATGGCAGAAACCAGCCCCTGATATTTCCTCTACAGGGGCTGCTAGCGGGGCCACCCCAGGGGGCAGGATGAAAGCAGCCACTGTCACAGCTGTAGGAAAGTAGGATGTGGGGTGAAAAGCCTCCAAATCACACGACCAAGGGTCTGACCACCAGGGTCTAGAGCCCAGCCATGGCTCTTGGGTCCAGAAGGGGGGAGCAGGACCAGGGCACACTGGTGGCTGGGGGCAACTCCAGGCAACCTCTCCAGGCTTCGCCCCAGATTCACCTTCTTCATGCTGCCCCGAGTCACAGTGGAGAGGGCGTTGGACATCAAGCGGGGGCTCAGGCCCCGGAACAGCCCGATCTTCCCGTCCACTTGCACAATGTACTTGGCTATAAGAAAGCAGAGGGAGTAGTGTCACGCCCAGCCCAGGAGTGCCCAGCCCAGGAGCACCCACTCCCAGACTAGCTGTGGCTTGTCCCTCAAGACCCTGCCCACTCCAGCATGGAGGGAGCCTCCAGCCAGGGCCTGCAAGCAGTCGGGCTCCATTCCCAAATGTCGTCTGGCCTGTTTCTTTTTGCAAAACCTTTGCAATGTACTTTAGACAAACAAGCTCACACACTTTGCATTTTCTTTTTGGTTTGAAAACTACTTGGCAAACTCAGCTGTGGTTTCTCAGTGTAGTGACTTGGGAGCTGCAACCCAAAACCAATTTCTGTTGCTTATAAAATGTTTTTCTTGGGGAAAAGAAAAAAGAAAAAAAAAATGATGATGTCCGTAACCTAAGGAGGGAAAAAGTGGAAGAGGAAGGGCACTAAGAAGACAGGCCTAAACACGACATGCCCCAGCCAGGAGGGCCCGCCTGGTCCCGTGCTGCACCCTGGACACCACCTGGCACTCCCTGGTAGAGGAGTGATTGAAGCAGAACACACACAGACGATGCTAGGAAGCCCTTGGGTGGTCAGTGAGCTGTGCCTGTGGGGCCGTGTTTTGCTAGGCCTCTCCTTTTACAGAGACTCGTCTCATTGTTTTATTTTACATCAACTTTTTAAACACGTTCAAAAAAGCCATTTATTTTTATAAACCCTCGACCCTGGAAGCTAGCAGAATGTTCTTGCCGCCAATCGGCTTCCCTTTCAGACCCACGCATTAGCTCTCTAGCACCGCACAGAGGCGGTGACGAGCAAGTGCACCTTCTCCTCAGCAAGGTCTGCCAGCATGGTGACTGGATGTCACAGTGGGAAAGGGCTTCCACAGGCTTTCCAGAGCACCTGTCACCCGCACAAATGGATTTCTGAGATGGGAGTGAGCTGGAAAGAGGAGCGGGAGGAGGGGAGGGATGGGTCATGGGGCCAGTGCCCTACGGCACAGAGGGGAGAGCCCCACCAGCCTCATTTTACCTGATTTGCCCATGGGTGAGAGGAGCGAGGAGCTGTACCTCCCCACTCCACAGATGAATCACGGAGAGAGGGAAAGGTGCGCAAACTGTGTGGGAGGCCCTCGTGGACTGGCCAAGGCCCTRTACTCCAGAGCCAGGAAACCTTCTAAGAAATTTTTCCTTTTACACAGAGAATGTCAGGACAAGCTGTGCTGGTCACCAGGACACGGCAGAGCAGGAGAAACTGGCCACACATTTCTGGACATACCGGATCTCCCAACTGAGAGCAAACGTGGTATCCAACAGACATCTGCTCACATTTRAACTAAAGGGACATTTATATCAACAGGTGGGGTGCCTCGGAACTCTCACATCTTTGCAAAGAGCCACTAAGATGGAGGCCAAGACTGCTCTACCTGGAGTTGAGTCCTTTGCAATGGCTATGTGACCTGGGAAAGCTGATGAAGTGCGATCCCAGCACACTGGCTCCACAGACAGGTGGGACCGCCTTCCTCCTCCGGTGACCTACCCTCCCCTTGACATTTTTAAAATAAAAAAAAAAAACCCAAATACATTTTCCCATAAAATGACGCATTCTGCCTGGCTCTAGCTTTACAATGGACAAGCAGGGGTAAAAATGAAAAGAAAAATGACATCTGATTCTGACAGCAGTTAGTGTGTGAAATAAAACAAAAAAGTGACCCAGAGGSCAAGCCCCAGGTTACTCAGCAGCAGGAAGATTTTTCAGAAAACATTATGGACCAAACAGGCAGGAAGAGCAGAGTGGGAAACATCTGGATTAGTCTGGAGTGGAATTCTGGCCACGAACAAGGAGAGAAGGGCACATTTAAAGCAAGTGCCATCACAGTCACCCGGCAATGGCGGGGACTGGGAAAGGAATAGCTATGATGGACTTAAAAAGGCCCTGGACAGCTGACACCTGGGCCAGCAGGAGCAGTATGACAGCAGGTGACATCTTGGTGGACAGACCTCCAGCAGGGCAGCCAGGAAGGGACTTGAGGGCTGAGGCACAAAGTGGTGTAGCCAAGCTCAGGGACACCCGGGGCAGAGCTGTGACTCTTCACAGTTCTGTAACCAGTGGCGAGAGGCGCCAGAGTGAGCGGGCACTTGTCTCAGGAATGCTGGGGAGCAGGACAGTCAGTTGTCATGAAATAAAGGAGCTCAGAAGGCCACTGTCAGGCCTCCTGCTGGGACAGAAAAGTAGAAAAGCTGCTCAGAAAGAAAACTCATGCCCGCCCTGCTCTCAGCAGAACTGGCTGGCAGAGGTTGACAGGGATTGGCGTCCCGGCCTGGCCCTTGGCTCAGGCATCTGTCTGTCCTGCTGACTGGGCTGGTGGCTGGCAGATGTGAGCAGAGGAGGTGGACCAAGGCCGTAGTGCTCACCTGCTCCTGCCTGACACTCTGCTGTGTCTAGCAACTCTCAGGTTCCCTTCTTAGCGCCAGCACCAACTGTGGGTGCCAGGTGGCCTGGCAGGTGCCCCAGGCCCTACTGATGGTCTCTCTTCTGTTGGCATGGGCTTCCTGGCCTGGGCACCATACTCACCATAGGTGAAGAAGCTCGGCAGGTAAAGGACCTTCCTCCCCAGCACATTGGTCCCAAGCGTGGGGGGCATCGGCTCATGCCCCACCTTCAAAATTAAGAGAGAAAAGCAAAGTTCTTCTTTCCCACGCCTAATTCCTCTAACGCTGCTCCTATCTCCCACTCACACACCCCAGAGAGCTCACCTGCGTTGACCGCCATCGGCATCACGTACTCTCCCAGCCTCAGCAGCATCCAGTCCTGGCTACTACCCTGACCACAACGCCCACCCCATCCGGGCCCCAGCATCCTGACCCTCAAAGCCCAGGACTCCCAGTGCAGAAACGCCCCTTTTAAAGTACTTCAAAGTCCATTCTCATCTCAGGAGAAATCTCAGTTAATTTTAATCTCCAGGTAAAAACTTCATTTTCCAATTGCACTCCCAACTGTGCCAGCACTAAAACACGCCACACCTGAGTCTCAGTCCCACACTTCAGACTGCTCAGCTCTGTCACCCGGTCCTAAGTTCCCCCTACTTTCCCATCTCTTACCAAGCCTACTGCAGACACCTCCACGGGCTGCCCTTCCATTTCCAGCTTTAGCAAACTTCCTTTGAATCCTACTCTTCCTCAAACCTGTCCTCAACTGTCCTGTAACCTCTATTGTCCTATATCCCTGTGACAAACTGACTGCCCTGGGCTCCACAGGATACTGTCATTCTTGCTGCACAGAATCCAATTATAACCAAAGTATCTGTCATGCCGTCCACACCCCACTCTGCTGGGGTGGGGGTGGGGGCATTTGTTATCTGCCCGTTCACGGGCAGAGACTCTCTAATCCAGGAGGAAGGCAAGGTACAAAGGAGACTTGTGCCCAGGTGGGGAGTGAGAAGGCCTGCCTTCCCTTGGCAGGGCCAGGACACCAGCCCAGAGGACCAGAGCGACAGAAGCAGCGCCTTGCAGATTGCAGAGGGAGGGATTGGAGCCAGCAGGTCAGGAGGCCTTGCCTCGAAAGCTGTGGCAGGTGTGCTCCAGGCCCAGGTTAGCCAGTGTCTTTGAAAGTTCAGGTTGTGCCTTCTGAATGTGATTCTGAGACACACATGACAGATCACTGATTATAAATCTTAAGCCCCCCCATCCCCATTATGGGCACTGTCTTAAAAACAAAACAAAACCCACATTCCAGCCCAGGGGACAGACGAGGCTAGAGGCAGCCCTGCCCTGCTAGACATTTTCTCTTCTGGGTGAACCCGAGGGTTTGGAATTAAGTTTAGGTTTTGTCTTTAAATGCAGGTGATGCTCCTTATACACTCAGCTACTGCTCTGTGCTGTCTTAGTCTAGCCACTATCATTTGGGAGTCCCTTTGATTCCAACTTTACACTTAAGTTTGTGTCCCTCCACCCCACATCCTCATGGCTTTCAAATCTGTTGGGTCTATATCTTAAACTACTCAGGATACCAAAGACACACTGTCTCTCCTGCTCATTCGTCTCACCTGCGGGTTTTAATTATCTGTTCCCAAGTCACTGCATGCCTAAATCTGTTAATCCAGTCCTAACCACAGCCTACACTGTGGTCCTGTATCAGATACTCGAAGAGCCAGCCAGCCATCTTTAAAGCCCCAATCTTGACAGCAAGCATTCATTTAATCTATTTCCTGCTCTCCCAAATAGTAATCTGATCTACCTTTTTGCAAAATTTTCTTCTTTTTGGTACCAGGAACTGAACCCAGAAGCACTTAGCCATTGAGCCACATCCCGTCCCTCTTTGAGACAGGGTCTCACTAGGTTGCTTATAGCCTCACTAAATTGCTGAGGCTGGCTTCAAATCTGCAATCCTCCTGCCTCAGGCTTCCAAACAGCTGGGATTCAGGTGTGTGCCATCAAGCAGAGGCTTTTTGCAAGATTCTACTCTGATTCCCAATCTATACCCACTGAGATCAGATCCCGAAGTATGTTACATTTAGCACCAACTGMCACCCTAACTAGGCCCACCCATCTTACACACCCACCATCTACTTCTTCTCACCCTTCGGGCTCCCCATTCCCCAATTCTTTTTCAAACCACCCTTATTTCAATTTTCTTTTCAAACCTGTACACCAAATCACTAACTTCACCACTGCCCAAATGAAAGCACTTCCATTTCTCTCACATGAAACACCCATTCCTTACATCCCAGCAGCTTGCACCCCAAAGACTCTACTACCTGCCACTCTAAAATTCCAGCCCTTGTTCAATCTCACTCCACTGGCTCTGGCTCCGGCTCCCAGCACCCTCGATTATCAACTCAGTGCTGGCAAAGCACCAGTTTCTCTCCCAAGCCTGCAATCTCTATTGCTGTAAATACTAATCTTATAAGTAAAGAAGTCCTCACTCCCAAATCACAACCAAATGCCCACCAGTCTCAGTGTCCACTGCCCCCTCAGCCATTTCTTTGGTACTGGGGATTGAACCCAGGAGCACTTAACCACTGAGCCACATCCCCAGTCCTTTTTATTTTTTATTTTGAGAAAGGGTCTTGCTAAGTTGCTTAGGACCTCACTAAATTGTTTGAGGCTGGCTTTGAATTTGTGGTCCTCCTGCCTCAGCCTGCAGAGCTGCTGGGATTTCTGGCATGAGCCATTTTGTCCAGCCCCCTCAGCCATTTCTAAACCTCAGTCACAATTAGTTACTCCTGATTAGATGTCCTCATTCCCTGTCATATTTCTGGGCACACCCAAATGTATTACCCCCATTCCCTGGATTTCAATTATGCCCCCCACTCCCTGACACTGGGGATTGAACCCAGGATGCCCTACCACCGAGCTACATCCACTATCCTTATTTTTTATTTTGGCCTCAAACTCAGTAACCCTCCTGCTTCAGTGCTCTAAGTCATGGGGATTTCAATTACTCTCATTCATAGACCTTCTCTTTTCAATGGCATTTGACATTCACTCAGTTCAATCTCAGGGATGGTAAAATCTGACAACCATTTGCATTAAAGCAAACCTCAAATCTCTGCTGGGTCTCCATCTCAATTTTTATCTCCAACTCTCTGCTTGCCCTTCTGAATTGGAAAATTCTAGCCTACATCTTCAGATACCACTTTAGGCTTGGACCACGCCCATCAAAATTGTGCCTGTCTCAGTCACACCCCCACACACACACACCTCTTTCAAACTGGACCTTTCCCTTTCTCAAGCAGCTCTTTCATCATTACTGCATTGCTGGCGGCCACCAAATATGTCCAGTGTCTAAGCATCCCTGGAGTCCAGAGACTCTGCTACCTGGGTATCAACTTTGGCCAACCCCTACCTATCTTGCCTTGTCTCCACTGCGCCTTTTGCCAAATTCCACTACTCCCAGACCCCTTTGGCCTGTCTCTGCAGTGACGGCCTGCGATTCCATTTTCCCCTACAAATGCGTCATCCCCTTCCCTCTAAAAGACTCCTCCTCGCTGCCCTCTCCAAACACATCACCGCGGCTCCCCCAGTGCACAGCCCTATCTGTTCCCCTCCCCCCCAACGCGTCACCCGGTCTCCTCCTCCCACCAAATCTGTCGTCGCCATCAAATCCAGAGCCCCTATCTCCTGTAAACCGATAGCTCTCCCCTGCTGAATTCTTTGCCTTCGAACTTAATCCAATACCTCCGTCTCTCCTTCCCCCAAGTCCCATGCCCTTCTTTCCCTCCTAAATTTGTGGTCCGGCGCCCACTCCTTTGTTCCCCAAAGCTTCCTTTAAATCCATCTTTGTAAATTCAGTCCTCGTTGTCTTCCACCCCAAATGCGCTCCGTGGCCCCCAACCCTTCCCCCTACCCACTCACCCAAACTTCTCGCCCCTCCCCCAATTCTGTTGCTTCTTCCTCCACCCCGAATCCGATGTCCTTCTCTATYCCAAACCCATCACTTCAATTCTTTAACCTTCTAAACCCGTCCCTCCATCCCGTCGCCTCCTCCTCTATACCTGCTCCCCTGCACCCCGGTCCCCAGTTCCTTGCTTGCCCAAATGTATCGTTCAGACTCCTTCACCCCTTTTCTTGCACCCTCAAACCCGACTCCTGCCGACCCAAGCCCTTCACCGCTTGCCTCCTCTTCCACCCCTTCCTTCCGGAAAACCCACGGTCCACACTCCTCCCCAAATCCGTCGCCATTGACCCTCCCGCTCCACTCCTCCTCCAGGTCCCGGCCTGTCACCTTCACAACAGCTTCCCATCTCCTTGCGGCGCCTTTGCCCCCTCACCTGGATTAGCAGCTTCACATACAGCAGCGGGTGGCTAAGTGCGGTCACACCCGCGCCCAGCGCCACGAAAAGAGCCTCGGTGGTCGGGGCGTTGTCCCCGGAGCCCAGACCCCCGGACGCGCCGTCCATCCTGCGGGCGGAGGGCTGCGCTGCAGGCCGAGGATGGCGCGGGTGTGCGCGGTGCGCGGGCGGCGGATCCCGAGCCCGGGCCTCGACCCCCGCCGCCGCTCCGCCGCGAGCTCCAGCTCCAGCTCCTGCTCCCGCCATCCCCGCGGCGCCGCCGCGAGCCCTGGGCGCCACTTCCGGGTCCGAAGCCCCCATGGCGCCGGGAGGCTAGGTCACTCCCCGTCACGTGGCGTTGAGAACCACGCCCCTCGCGGGCGTCGGAGGCGGGGCCGGGCCGCACCACTCGCGGCCGCGGGGGAGCGCTGGAGTGCGGCGCCGTGGTGGGGCCTGCCGGACGTGGCCCCTGGTGGTTGGGATTGGGGCCTCGTCGAAAGCTGGACCGAGGACTTGGAGTCAGTGTCACAGGCAGCCGGGGCTGCAGGTTTGGGAGCCGCGAAGGCCGCGGCAGGCCCGGGCGCTCCCCCGGAGCCCCAGAAGACGGCGTGGGCGGGGCTCAGCCGCTCTGGCATCCAGACGCCCCCAATATGGCCTGAGGCACTTTCAAGCCCCCTCCCGGGCTTCGGGAGTTTTCTCTGCAGTTCTGGGCCCGCCCCTTTGCGGCCCACATCCTGGTCGCTGCGGCCTTCGCAGGGTTGGGGTGGCGGCTGTGCGAGACGCAGGCCTCCTGCCGCAGGCAGAGCCCCCCGGTGGGCTTCAGCCGCCCTTCTTACCCCTCCCATGTCCCATYTGCCAGGAGTGACCTCCCGCCAGGTCACAGCCAGAAGGCCCCCCACACACACACCGGGGTCCACGCTCCCGCTGTGAACCTTGGCACACCCACCCTTAGAACCCCAGTTACAAAACGTGGTTTGCTCTAAGGTAGTGGAGAAGATCAATTAGTCTGTCCACGTAAGCACACGCAGGCACTGTGCTGCGGGCCCTTAGTGTGCGTCAGGCACTTCTAAGTGCGTTACACCTGTTAAATAGGATCCAACAATCCTGCCAGGAAGGATATTTATTTCAGTAAGTGCCCAGTTCCCGTTTGTTACCTTGCCCCACCCCCAACACCCAGAACACCAGCTCCCTGCTAGTCATGAGGGTGCTCAATAAAAGTCGCTGTTAAACGGATCTTAAAGTCGGCAGGGACAGGGACGGCAGTCCCTTGGCCTGCATTTATGTTGCTGCTAGTACTTCGCAAGAGTTCTTTAGAATAGTCAGACATCTGCCTTCTGATCCCTTTTGACTCCCCTCCAAGCTTACCCTTTAAAAGCCACTCCCAGTCACCACTCAGGAGGACAAACACTGTACACTTTCCTTGTTGGAAACATGCGGGTCTCTATCCCTTCATAGAGGGCTCCATCTTCCCTCCCCGACCTTGACCTCCTCATCTCAGACTTGCCCCGATGGAATCACTACAAAACCTTCCAGCCCTTCGGATTTACCAGGTTTTCTCTTTCAAATCCAATTTTCATTAACCCCCACTCCCTCTCCCAAGAGTGCTTTAAATGATTTCCTTTTGCCTGAATTCCGATTTAGCTTTTTCAGTRTGGAAAATCAAGTTCATAGGATAATAGTGAAGCTAGATTTACAGATAGGTAGTTAGGTAAATCGGGTCTAATAGCCAGTAAGATAAATAAAATGGAGGCCAGACCATTATACAGAAAGGAGTCCAGGAAACCAGAGCAGCACTTGGGGAAATTGAAATGTTATTGTCTCCAAAGCCCCAGCCCATCCTAAGGAAATGTTAATGAAGCAGCTGCAGCAAATGAGGAGGTGCTAATCAAAAGCTGCCCCAGGCCCTTCCTGCCCACCTATCTCCCACCTTTTAGGCCTTCCATTCTATCACTAAAAGATAAGGGGAAATAAAAGATCTGAGTGTGGGAAAGCTGAAAAAASACCTTAGCTATAAAAAAGGGAAGACCTCCCACTTCCACYGATTCTGCCTTTTGGGTCCCCTTCTTCCTCTGAGGAGAAGTCTTTTCTGCTGTCCTTTAATAAAGCTTCTACTTTCCACTCTCCACTTGCTTCAGCTGCTTCTCTAATGTTCAAACTTCCACCTGTGGGGAAGCAGGACTCATCACCTGCTTTCTAGGCAGGTGTCAGAACAATGTCATCAGGGCACTTGGTGATGACACATTTCTAAGAGAAAATGGAATCACCATGCTTGTACCTTCAGGATGGACTGATGGGTATCGGGTGAGGGCTGTTATTGGCCTCACCTTCCTCCTGATACCTCCTCACGCAGACCCTTTCCTTGGCTGGGTGTTCTCTCCATTTTTCCTCCATCTGTCTATGTTTCCTTMTGAACTTGTCTGTCCCCACCAGACCTTGTGTAGATTTGGCCATTTCCCACAGTGATTCCATGGAAGGGAGCTATGTTGTATTTTATTTAATTTTTTTTATTTATACATTATATTGTATCTTCCATAGCAACAAATAGGGATACACACCTAGTAAATGTTTAATAAATGGTTTCCGAGTAATTCAACAATTTCCAAAAGTGGTGGGGGAGGGTAAAAATAGGTCAGTTAAACCTGCTAGACCGATAGGAATACCAAGCAGACGCAAATGTAACACTGGGCTATAGCTGTATCTCTACAACTCAGGGCTCACAGGGACACCAGGAGGAAAAAGTAAAAAACTTGATATATTAAAACTGCAAGCCAGGCACAGTGGCACACAACTATAATCCCACTGACATGTCAGGCTGAGTCAAAAGGATCGCAAGGTCCAGACCAGCAACTCGGTGAGACCATGTCTCCAAAAAAATAAGTAAAAATAAAAACAACTAAGGATGTGGTTCAGTTGGTAAAGTACCCCTGGGTTTAATCTCTAGTACCAAAAACAAAACAAAAACTTCAAGCCATTGGAAGACATATCCCATCAGCAGAGTGGACAAAACAGAAGGACCTAAGATAATACAGCAATTTGAAAGAAAGTTTAAAGGGGGGGGGAGGTTTTCAAATGAAAAGAAAGTACTAGAAAAAAGAACAGGTATATTTGAAAAGAAAACAGAACCTCTAGAAGTGAAAAGCATGCTCACTGAAATGATTGAATGAGGAAAAGTCTTGCTGGGCATTCATGCTCCTGAGCCACCCAACAATGTGTCTCCAGAGCTAGAAAGCAGTTGGTTCTGGGCTGAGTTAGTGCCCACTGACCCCGCTACCTGCTGCTCTGGCCACCCCGCAGCACTTACCACACTGTAGTGGGCAGCACTTGCCCACTACACTTGCTGTTCTCCCCTGGTAGTCTATCAGCTCATTGGCACTAGGCCCCATCCATTCATGGCTGAACCCCAAACTTGGCACATGGTAGGAACCCAACAAATGTTCACTAGGAAATACATGGATAAGCCGAAATGTGTTATGTTTTTTGTTTGTTTGTTTGTTTGTTTTGTTTCTTGGTATCAGGAGTGGAACACAGGAGTGTTTAACCACTGAACCACATTCCTAACCCTTTTTATTTATTTATTTATTTATTTTATTTTGAGACAGAGTCTTGATAAGTTGCTTAGGACCTCACTAAATTGCTGAGGCTGGCTTTGAATTTGGAACTCTCCTGCCTCAGGCGTCCTAGTTGCCAAGATTACAGGTGTGCACCACCACACCTAGCTAAAATGTCTTTTAGAATTATACAATGTTATTGATGGTAGCACCACCTGAGGAATTAAAACTTTAGGAAGATGCATATGCCCCCAAGCAGTAGGATAAACTAATAGAAAATTAGCAGGAAATCAGCTGGGCACTGTGGTGTATGCCTGTCATCCCAGTGGCTCAGGAGGGTGAGGCAGGAGGATCATGAGTTCAAAGCCAGCCTCAGCAACTYAGYGAGRCCCTGAACAACTCAGCGAGACCCTGTCTCTAAAATAAAATATTACAAGGGCTGGGGGATGTGGCTCAGTGGTTAAACGCCCCAAGGTTCAATTCCCTGTACAAAAGAAAAGAAAAGAAAAATTAAAAAGAAAGAAAATTAATAAGAAACCAGACTCTTGTAGACCTTGAAAATTACAAGAATATAGGTCTATATTCTTGGGATCCAGTGGGGAACTACGTTGCAATGAAAAGAGAACAGAAAATCCTAAGAAGCCACCATTGCAGTTAAGTTGACATCACATTAATCGGGTCTGGAGGGAATCTAGGGGGGGGATGTCAAGGTCTACGTGGGAGTTTAGGCCTCACTGGGAAGGCCTGCTGGGGAGGACCAACCCCAGTGTAAGACGATGACCACACGTGGCCGCAGGCCTCCTGTTCACCTGTCCACTTGTCCTGGGGGAGAACTTCCTGGCTGCCCCTCTGCTCGCCTTCCTTGCTGGAATGGGGGCCTGGGGTGGAGAAGGCTGCATCAACCTTTGGGACAGACCTTTATTTCAAAGCTTCAGGGATTCTTGACAGTGCTGGGAATCAGCTGTGAATCAGCACGTGGCTCTGGGGGAAAAAGCCATTTCCTATGATCTTGACTGTGACGGATGACAGGAAGGAAGGGACTCTGCCCTCGAGAGACGGTTTGGAGCACTGACCCCACTGTGAGACACGTGACAGATGGGTAGCTGGGTAGCTGAGGCCAGCAAGCCATTTGTAACAGCAGGATTTTGAAGCAGAAATATGGATTATTTCATTTTAAATCCCTGCACCTGAGTTTATCTTGGGGAGAATAAGGAAGAAAGAGGTGGTGTCAGGGAGCCTGCGTCCCCTCTTGGCAACAGCAGGTCCTAAAAGACCAAGGCTACCCCTCTGAGAAGGGCCCAGACTGTCCACCCATGATGCCCACATTTCCACAAACACTTCCTGCAACCAATTTTAGTACCTGTGTGGTTCTAGTTCGAATTTGAGTTTGGAAATCCTGGTTTCAATTCTACCATCCCCGAGAACTAGTTTGGGGTGTGCAGGTGTGTGTGTACGTGTGTGTGTGTGTGTGTGTGTGTGTGTGTGTAAACAGTTAACTTCTGGGTGAACTGAAGTCTAACCATGCTGACCCACAACTCCGCTGGTTGGAGGTACCAGACTTGGCATCTTGGGGTACCCCTGCTCACTTTGGGTGCTCCATGGGAACTGGGACACCAAAGCTCACCACCAGGCCAGGACATTGCCTGGACTCCCAGTCCCCAACCCCAGCTGAAYGTTAGAATCACAGAAGAATTTAAAAAGCGGGGAGCTGGGGTGGTCGCTCAGTGGTAGAGGGCTTGCCTGGCCTGTTTATGGCCCCAGGTTTGGCCCCCAGTACTGCAAAAAAATAATAATAATGACCTCAACCCTCAGCTCAAAGGGTAGACTGGGACTGGGTTAAAATGTTGCTCAGACGCTCTCTGGGTGATTCCAGTGCTCCAGGCTGGGGGCGATGGGATGCTCAGCGCACACCTGTGCTCAGGTGGGTGGGTGGGTATCTCCTGGGGGAGGGGGTCACAGAAACACAGAAAGTGGCCCTTTCAAAGAGAAGCCAAGGAAAGCGCTGTTTTCAGTTCTTTTCCCGGTGGGTTTTCCTGGGAGTCAGCAGAGTCGCACACACACAGCATCCAGTTTGCAGACAATTTTCCTCCCCAGGGCCAGAGCAGTAAGGGAAGCATCCTTTGCTGTACCGCCGCCCCTCTGGGTACCAGCTGAAAGTGGCATCTTTTTTTTGGTAGGGGGAGGGCAGGAGGGATGCTGGGAATTGAACCCAGGGACACTCAACCCCTGAGCCACATCTCCAGCCCGTTTTATTTTTTTAATTTTGAGACAGGGTCTTGCTGCTGTGATGCTTAGGGCTCAATTGCTGAGGCTAGACTCTAACTTGCAATCCTCCTGCCCCAGCCTCCCAAGTCACGAGGATTATAGGCATGAGCCACCCTGCCCAGTGGAAGCTGCATCTTGTCCAGACTTGGGCCTGAAGTTCCAGCAGGGCCAGAGGCACAGCAGGTCTTAGCTTCCAGTGAAGCAGAGCTCCTGAGCAAGCTCAGGAGGGACAGAAAGCAAATTCCTGTGGATTCCTTCAAGCACCACTTACTGAGCATCTCCTAGGGCCAAGCATGGCCGTGACACTAGGAGTATACAGTAGGCAAAACACAAGAAACCACACTGTCAGGAAGCTGGTATTCTAGTCTGGGGGACAGATAACACGATAAATCAGCCTAAGTGATAAAAAGAGGACAATGAAGCAGGGGAGGGCCTGGGAGTGTGTGAGGATGTTGCAATTTGGGGGAATCTGTGAGGGTCAGGAAAGGCCTCTGCGAAATGGTGACATTTAAGCAAAGATTTGCTAGACGGGGCCGGTCCAATGGTGCACACCTGTCATCCCAGTGGCTTGTGAGGCCGAGGCAGGAGAACTGCAAGTTTGAGGCCAGCCTGGGCAATTTAGCAAGATCCTGTCTCAACGTAATAAAACCAAAAAGAAAGCAAGAAACTCAGAGGTGAAGCATCCCTGGGTTCGACACCCAGCACCAAGACAAAACAAACCACCTCCAAGATTCAGCGGAGGGGTGAGGGGAGCCATGGGGCTGTTCGGAAGAAGTGGGTGCCCGATAATGGAGGTACCAGTCAAAGGCCCTGCGGGAGGAGCCCAGTGAGAAGGGACAGGGATTGAAATGAGGCCAGGGAGTTGGACCTCGTAGACCTTGGCTGTGACCTTAGCTGGGACAGCAGCCAGGCACAAGCTAGATATATTTCAGAGGAGGGGGCCCTCCCAAAGGTAAACTGAGGCCGGCTCGTGGGTCTCCAGCCGGCTTTTCCCYGGGGGTTTCCTGTGGGGGTCTGGGAGTGGGGGGAGCACGGAGCATGGATGAGCCCTGAGAGGCTGGGCCCTGGGGCCTGGGGGACCCGGTGAAGGTGAAGGCGTGGGGAAAGGTCACCAGAGGCCGGGCCACAGGGTGGACAGGAGCAATCTGTTCCCTCTCTCTGCCTGGGAACCCGGCCACTCCTGTCTCTCCCTGAGCCGTCGGGGAGGACCAGCCGTCAAGGCCCAGAGGAAGGCCCACAGTTGTCTGGAGATAAAAGAAGCCCCCCCCCCCCGTCCCGGGCTGTGAGGCCCTGTGCTGCTCTCTGGGCACCTTCTCAGGGCACTGCCTGGCACCACCCGGCTCTGGCCTCGCCTCTCCAGCTCCCCTCTGTGCCTCCCGCCTCAGCGGCTCTGCAGGCCTCCCCTCCTCCCCTGGACACACAAATGTCTCCTTGTGCCTCCCCGGCTCCCGGGGGCGTCTCCCCTGCAGGCCACACATCCACCGCCAGCCCAGCCCCGGCTGCCCAGGATGCCTCCCTGGTCACCCCTGCTATCTGCCTCTGGTGACCTTGAGTCCCTTCTGAACAGTGGGAGGGCCTGGCAGGAGCCGGGCCCAGTCCCCGAGTGCCAACTCTGAAACCAGATCSGTCACACCCCAGAGAAGAAAAGGCTGTTGATGTTCCTCCTTGACGTCCTCCAGCCGCCACCAACGTCAGGACCGACACTGACTTGCCAGCTGGGCTTGCTGCCATCCTGGTGGCCTGGGCAGACTTCCACCTGCAGCCCAGAGAGTGTGGACACAGGCAGGTCCCGCCTCCCGGGTTCCCCAGGGGCCTCAACAGTGGCTCCCGCTGGATGGACAGTGACATTCAGAGACACCCCAGCTGCCGGGGTCGGGAAGGGAAGGTGGCCTGGCTCCTGGGCTGGCTGGAGGGGTCAGGCCCGCTGGCCAGCCGCTCAGCACCCTCCTGCAGGAAGCCTCAGCAGATGGCGAACTTCTGGCCCAGGGACAGGGTAGAAAACTCTGCTTGTGGGAGGGGACAGGAAGGCTGGTCCCTGAGCCAAGCTGGCCTTTTCCTGTCCTCCTCTCTCTCAGCCAGGGACACACTGCTTTGGAGCCCACCTCTCACACTGGCACCACTGGTGGCCTCTGCCCACTGCGTGGCAACCCAGAGGGTGGCCCACCAGGACCTGCCAAAGACAGGGGGTGGAGAAGGGAGCAGGACAGGGACACTGGAGGGCGGCAGCAGCCACAGGAGCAGTTTCAGCTGGCTGCCTGCCTCTGCCCCAGAGCCCTGTCCCTCCACCACAGCCCCRTCACAGGCCATCAGGCTCTCAGCAGGTGCCCTGTGCTCCCCGGAGGCTGGGAGCCGGGTTGGAGGTGGACCTGGAGACGTGCCATCTCCCTCCCACCCCGGCCTGGCACTGTCGGGGCTCAGAGCCCTCCTGGGAGGCTCAGGGCACTGGTGGCCAAGTGATGAGATAGTCCTTTGCCACTCGGGGTGTGGCACTTGTCCATTCCATCCCACGCGCCTGYGGAGGCCCCACTGGTGGGGGACACGGTGCTGGGCTGGGCCCCAGCCAGGAGGCCGCGTGCTCAGGCCCTGCCCTAGCCAGGAGCACCAGGCAGGGAGGCTGCCCCGGCCCAGGAGGACATCCAGAAGAAGTGGCCTTCAGGGCTCTAGGCCTAACGGACGCTGACAGGAATCAGGGGACAGACAGCACCTCAATGGCAAGATTCCCCCCTGAGACCAACGGGGCCAGTAACGCATGTTCTCAAGAACTGTGACGAGTAGGAGACRGACCGGAGGGACCTGTGGACACCAAGTGAGTCCAGGCAGAGGTGGCTCGTTGCAAATGTCGCACCTTATTTGGGTCCCCTGATTTTTTTTTTTAAATGATGGCATTTATAAGGAACTGGCACTCAGAATGTTTTCTAGATATTCAATTAGATTGAGGGTTGTTGCTGAACCTCTGTTRGGGTACGATGATGTCGTATCTTTCATATGTACACACATGATCACATGTAAAACACATGTACATGTAAAACGGTGTTGCTGTGATCAATAGGTATGCATATACACTTGTGTGTATGTGTATTTTTATTTATTTACTGAATTATGCKCCCTTATCTTTTAGATACACACTGAAATATTTGTGGGGAAAGCATGTGATGTCAGGGATTTGCTTCAAAATGACAAGAGAAGGCACAGTCGAGGTGGCTTGGGGAAGGGACTGAAGAGGTGAGGGTTGCTGGGTCTGGATGGTGGGTTGATGGGTGCATTGGATTGTTTTATCTAGTTTTGCATCTGTTCTACATTTTTTTTTTTGTACTAGGAGTCAAACCCAGGGGTGCTTAACCAC